GTGCTTCGCCACACTTCACCTGCCATTTACAGTTATTGTGCCTGGGTCTGGTTGGAACCCAGAAGAAATGTTTTTCACTAAACATTTTATGTGTTACTGTTTCCAGGTACCAAGAATGCTTTTATGGGGTCAATCTGTCCAGTCTCCGCAGTGCAGCTGTGAATGAGTATTTCCGACAACCTATTGTGGTAGGTTTGTATGTTGGGGAGTTATTTTTTGTGTTTTTCCCTCTCCCTATCTTGTTCCCTCCACAAAATCCCACAGTACGGTAGCCTCCTTGTTTAACAGAGCTCTGTGGCTGTTGAGTAGAGAGCCAGGAACTAACTCTGCGAGTGTGAACAGAGCTGCTGTCAAAGGTTAACTACTATATGTAATATTCCTGGTTTTGCTATGAATAACAGATGCCTAGAGATACACACACATTAGGAAGCCACAGCATGTGAACAATTGTCTTCCTGACATGCAGTTAGCTTCCCTCAGTGTTTCCAGTCTCTTAAACAAGTGTCTTGACCTTCATTTTTCCCTTCTCACCTCTGATCCACAAATGAAAGGAAAAGAGAAAGCAGCCACACAAACAGGTTTCTGTATTATGAAACAACATTTTTTAATATGTAAATATCCTTATTTTATTGGTAAATTGGATCTAGCACGTGCTGTTCTCCTTCTTTCTTTTTAGTAAAGGTGTAGGTAGTAACTAGGTAAAAAGAATGCAGAAGAAATCCTTCTCACCTCTCTGGGGAAAAAACAATCCCCAACCCGCCCCAGTATAATGCTTCAGTGTAGGTGCAATGAAAAGGTTCACTCTCAGAAATTTGGCTAGCTTTAGGCTAACTCATTTAAGTAGCAATAGCAGTGTAGCTGCTGTTGCATGGAGATCCTGAAACCTGTCCAGAAATCTGGAAAGACCATGAGACTACTGATGTGACCTTCTGCACTTTGCTTTTAGTATTTGAAATGGGTAAGAGAAAATTCTCATTTGTCTTCATAAATTTCAGCCATATTTTTGACTATAGCATGGTCGTTCTCAGTGCTGGCTCTTCACCTTTCAGTTAGAGAATGGAGTAGTTGGTAGGACTGCGGCACGTACTTGCATCCTGTATGAAGAACGTGTTTGGCTTTGATTTCTCAGCTGAGATTCTTCCTCCCTTGAAGATCAGAAATGCATTGCCCAATAAAAGCCACATTAAATTGTTATTTCTTTTAAAAAATCGCATATTTCCGTGGCTTCCCTTTACTCTGTACATAGATTTTAGTTCTTAGATGGGTTCACTGGGTGGGATGCGAATACAAGCCTTTACATTAAGAGTTTGCTTTACTTATGAAAGAGCCTGTGAAGAGTTGTTGTGGTTTAACCCCAGCCGGCCACTGAGCACCACACAGCCAGTCACTCACTCCCCCCCACAATGGGATGGGGAAGAGAATCAGAAGGGTAAAAGTGAGAAAACTCGTGGGTTGAGATAAAGACAGTTTAAGAAGTAAAGCAAAAGCCACGCGTGCAAGCAAAGCAAAGCAAGGAATTCATTCACTACTTCCCATCGGCAGGCAGGTGTTCAGCCATCTCCAGGAAAGCAGGGCTCCATCACGTGTAACGGTTACTTGGGAAGACAAACGCCATCGCTCCGAACATCCCCTCCTTCCTTCTTCCCCCAGCCTTATATGCTAAGCATGACATCATATGGTTTGAAATAGTCCATTGGCCAGCTGGGCCAGCCATCCCGGCCACGCTCCCTCCCAGCTCCCTGCGCACCTGGGAGGGCACGGGAAGATGAAAAATCCTTGACTAGCGTAAACATTACTTAGCAACAACTAAAACATCAGTGTGTTATTAACATTAATCTCATACTACATCCAAAACACAGCGCTATACCAGTTAATAGAAAGGCAATCAACTCCACCCCAGCTGAAACCAGGACAAGAGTGATAGATTAGGATTAGTACATGTGATTAAAGAAAGAAAAATGAAGGGAAAAGTTTTCATTTGCTGACTGGCTATTCCTAGCTTTTTCCTAGAAGGCAATCTGTATTACGTAATTTTGCTTCCTATACTTCATAAATTAATTTTCACTTATTTCCATACTCTCTTAGTTTGGTTTAGTCAACTGCGCAGTGCAGAATATCACATTAAAATGTGTGCGGTTTAAAAAAAAAAAAACAACCCCAAATAAACGAGCCAAATAAACCCATCTTTTTTTTTTTTACAAATGATCAATTTGTGGACAGATTTTATTGTTTCTAGGTTGAATAAAACAGTCTTTGATAGGTACGTAAACTATATATATCAAT